AAAAAAGAAATTTGCAAATGTTTCTCTCTAGCTAGTGACTCGTTCACAACAGAGTTGTGACGTCATTTCATTCAAAAATTTCTCAAACTTCAAGACTTACATATGTGTTGCATTAGAATTATCATTATCATATTAAACATTCTTCTGCATACAAAACAACTGATTGATATCAAGTAAGTTTACACAATGAACAATCGGTAAAGAGCTCAATCTTGTCAGAGAAAAGAGGCTTGAATACCCCGTTGAAGCAAGAGTCATATGCCATAAGAGAAGTGACTAATCCAGAGGCATGTTAAACCATAGATTCTGTTAAGAGAAATCATCTTGGTACTTCACAGTCTGAGTACCATTCAGGGATGAAGTTAGCAGAGCCTACCAATCTGGGGCAATCAAGTCGAGAGTCGATCTCTCCAAGATCATCCAAATCTGGGGCATTCCCTTAAAGATGTCAATAAGAGGCTATCACGTCGATAAATCTCTTCAAGCTGTCAATCAGAGGCTATCACGTCAATAAATCTCTTCAAGCTCGATCAATCAGAGATTATCACGTCGATAAATATCTCCAAAGCTCGATCAATCAGGGGCTATCACATCGAGGAATCTATTCGTAATTCATTCAATCATGGGCTATCACATCGAGTAATCTATTCAGAATTCATTCAACCTGGGGCAGTTACGTCAAGATTAGACAAATCTCTCCATGAAAGTTGTAATAAAAGCAGTTTATTTCATGACTTAAGACATTAGGGCAGGCCACCTCATATCGTATTGTGGCACGAATATTCTGGTCTCCTATTCAACATAGATCTTCTTAGAGATCCCCCAGACAGGGGCATTCCTCATCTGTACTTGCAAAGTTTCTCAAGCCAATTATGTTGTACAAGACTTCGACCAAGCTAAAAGCATCATAACAGTCACCCTGACTTAGCCGGCGCATGAAGTTGCCTTCATCTGCTGTAGACAATTTCAAATCTGATTCCCCAAGTGAAATCAGAAAATCTAGAACCGTCTTTTGACTCAGCACGTGCAAAATGCATCCTCAGTGGAGTTAATCAAGAACATCCCCAATGGAGCTAAACTGGGGCATTCGCAGAGCCAAACGGGGGCATTCGCAGAGCTCAACCGGGGCACTCTTAAAGCTCAACCGGGGCACTCGTTAGTGTCCACGCCCATCTCTTATTCCCCAAGTGATTCAAGATATAATTCCCCAATGTGCGTAAACTTGGGGCATGTATTCAAAGAGATCCACATGGTGTTCAATATCCATTCTTCGGCATAATCAGTTCTATCACCCTCTCAACAGTTGAGGATGTTTGGAAGTCTATCCAGATTATCTCTTCACTAACAGTACGATTCAGAATCCAGCAGCGTACCTAAAGACTCGCTTTGTCAGCAATTCAATCTTTAGCAAAGTCATCAACGATCTTTGGTATCAGGGGCTCCCCAGGGCGAATTTTTATCAGTATCCCCAACAACCTTTGATACTGCAGGCTTCCATCGCCGATATGTATTGACATCCCCAGTGATGAGCAGCGGTCTCCAATAGGCCTCCTTTTATCCCCATGAAGTTTATTTCTTTGCACTGCATATAGTTATCACTACATAACATTACATCCTCAAAAGCGCGTAGCCGATCCATCAGAATGGATATTTGCGGCAAAAGAAATTCAAACATGCATACGAAGCATAAGCCAGATCAGGTACCTTACACAAAAGACCTGAATTATTCAAGGAAAACAATACATCCCTACAGGAGGGTATCATGCCCAAAATCCCTAGTCAGTGACCTTCACCTTCAATGCCCAGCAAAATCGATACACTTTGTTGTTCTAAAACCCAGTTCTTGTCTGGTAGTCAGTTCCCTAAACACTCATCCGTGTCTATTCCTAAACACTCGTTTGTGTCCATTCCTAAACACTCATCTGTGTCAGTCTCTAAAACACTCGCCCGTGTTTACCTTTTGATACTCGTCCGTATTGATTCAAACACTCGTCTGTGTTTAAACCTTTTAATACTCATTCGTATCTTCTTTCAATACTCGTCCGTATTGAATCAAACACTCGTCTGTGTTTAAACTTTTTGATACTCACCTGTATCTTCTTTCAATACTTGTCCGTATTAATTCAAACAATCATCCATGTTTTACCTTTAATACTCGTCCGTATCTTCTTTCAATACTCGTTCATATTGATTCAAACACTCGTCTGTGTTTAACCTTTTGATACTCGTCTGTATCTTCTTTTAATACTCGTCCGTATTGATTCAACACTCGTCTGTGTTTAACCTTTCTTGATTCTCATCTGTGTCATTTATCTAAACAATCATCATGTCGTAACCCATGTTTCCTTCGTCGAACCTAAGATCGCCTGTAGGCTAGGTTATTCCTTAGGTCATCTTAGAACCTGAGATCGCCTCTTGGCTAGGTTCTTCCCATAGATCGTCTTAGAACCCGAGATCTCCCGTAGGCTAGGTTCTTCCTTAGATCATCTTAGAACCTGAGATCGCCTCTTGGCTAGGTTCTTCCCATAGATCGTCTTAAAACCTAAGATCGCCCGTAGGCTAGGTTCTTCCTTAGATCATCTTAGAACCTGAGATCGCCTGAGGGCTATGTTCTTCCCATAGATCATCGTCGAACCTGAGATCACCCGTAGGCTAGGTTCTTCCCATAGATCACCGTCGAACCTGAGATCGCCCGTAGGCTAGGTTCTTCCTTAGATCATCATCGAACCTGAGATCGCCCGTAGGCTAGGTTCTTACTTAGATCATTGTCTTAGAACCTGAGATCGCACGTAGGCTAGGTTCTTTCTTAGATCATGTTAGAACCTGAGATCGCCCGTAGGCTAGGTTCTTCCTTAGGTCACCGTCGGACCTGAGATTTCCCGTAGGCTAGGTTCTTCCTTAGATCATCTTAGAACTTAAGATCGCCCATAGGCTAGGTTCTTCCTTAGATAATCTTAGAACCTGAGATCGCCCGTAGGCTAGGTTCTTCCTTAGATCATCGTCGAACCTGAGATTGCCTCTTGGCTAGGTTCCTCCTTAGATCACCTTCTTAGAACTTGAGACCGCCTCTTGGTTAGGTTCTTCCCATAGATCATCGTCGAACCTGAGATCGCCTCTTGGCTAGGTTCCTCCTTAGATCAACCTTCTTATAACCTAAGATTGCCTCTTGGTTAGGTTCTTCCCATAGATCATCTTCGAACCTGAGATCGCCTCTTGGCTAGGTTCTTCCTTATATCATCTTCGAACCTGAGATCACCTCTTGGCTAGGTTCTTCCTTAGATCATCGTCGAACCTGAGATCGCCCGTAGGCTAGGTTCTTCCTTAGATAATCGCCGAACCTGAGATTGCCCGTAGGCTAGGTTCTTCCCATAGATCATCGTCGAACCTGAGATTGCCCGTAGGCTAGGTTCTTCCTTAGATCATCGTCGAACCTGAGATCTCCCGTAGGCTAGGTTCTTCCCATAGTTCATCTTAGAACCTGAGATCGCCCGTAGGCTAGGTTCTTCCATGGATCACCGTCGAACCTGGGATCGCCTCTTGGCTAGGCTCCTCCTTAGATCACCTTCTTGGAACCTGAGATCGCCTCTTGGCTAGGTTCTTCCCTCAAATCATCGTCAAACCTGAGATCCCCTTTTGGCAAGGTTCTTTCAATATACTTTGTCTTAGAACCTGAGATCGCCCTTTGGCTAGGTTCTCTGTCAAATCACTCTCATGTGTCACCTTAGGATCGTAGGTCGCCCGTAGACCTCGTCCGCTGTCTTTTCATACCAACCATTTGTCTTGTATTGGCATCAGGCCATGTTACAAGTCCAATCTTTGTCTCTTCATTAAAAAAAACAAATTTCTTTTCCCCAGCAGATAACACAAAAATAAATAAAGAAAACACTTACTCTCTCTCAGGACAAATTTTTGGCATTGATATTTAATCATCTTCAACCTTGAACTTCCGAAAGGCATGTGCCAATCGTACTTTCTGGTTTAAGACGATTAAATAGGGGCAAATGTAATACCCGAAATTTGTCCTACCCCTTTTACTTTCATCTGGTTTATGCATTGTCGCGCTTTTCTCATGTACATATCTCCATTAGGTCATTTAACATTGCATACATTCGCTAACAACATAATTTGGCATGGAATAAGTGATATGATGGAATTAGGGTTTCTATGGCTTTGATGGTCCTCATCTTCACTCTGGTTTGAATCGGTTGGTTTCCCAGTAACTGGTTTATGGAACTAGGGTTTGGATTCTTAATTATTGTGAACTTCTCCCCCATCAAGCTATAAGGCTGTCATCCTCGTCAAGGGCAGCATCACTAGGGTTTCACTAAAGGTTTAAGTAAAGACTATGTGAACTAAGGTATAAGTTCAAAGTCATCTTGAATATCTTCTTCAGGGGTCCAAGACGTCGTTATTATAGTGCTCATATAGTCGGGACATGGTACAAGATGTGGATTGTAATCAAGGCGTCATTCTTTCAAATTTATTATTACTTGACACGCAAATTTGGTTTAGATCGAAAAATTGAATTGAATTAGGGATTCACTGAAGATGTAGTTTGATTAGAATTCATTCATTAATATTTGAAGAGGATTTGGAGTGAATAAAAGTTCTTAAATATTTGTGTGGGATTTCTTAGAATAAAAAGGCATGTATCAAACTCATTTGTTTCATCCAACAATCAAAGTGTCATCCAAACAGTCATTCAAGAACTCATTAAAGATTCAAGTCTCTTCGTGATTACCTCGCAAATTTTTTGGATTCGTGCCATGATTATTTGAATTCATACAAAGGCGTCTAAAGGGAATATTGAAGGTAAAGGAATTTGGAAGTTCAAAATCAATTTGAAAGTTCAGGGTTACAAATGAATTACATCATCCAATTTTCAAGTTACAATTCATTAAGGCTTCCACTTATTCAAGTTCCAAAATACATTACAAATATCCAACACCATTTACAATATCCAAAAACATACTACAAAAATGAGAAATACACTTAAAGATTCATATATTGATTCTCATCATTGCTTTCTGTGTGGCCTTGTCGTGTTTGAAATGCAACCTTAGTTTGCTTCCATCTTCATTATCTTCTTCATGACCAAACCAGCGTATTGTAACTTGCCATGATCTATGCCTATTGTTTCAATCCAAAGCAATCCAGAACATTTATACAACAAAAAGAAAACTTAGAAGGAGAAACCTGCATAAAGCAATACAGAAAACCAGTTTAGAATTTAACCAAATAACCAATTCCAAACAACCATTTTCCCTAACCATATTCTCCATAACCTGTAACAGAACTCACAACAAAACAAAATATAATTCACTACCAGTAACCAAAACATAATTTTTCATAAAACATTCTCTAACCAACTCATAACAACCCCTAACAGAAACTAACAAAGCTAACTGATTCCCCCACTCAACGAATTCTAACAGAATTAGAACAGAAGAAACAAAAAAAGGGGTAACAAAAGATGGCAGAAGGGAGGGAGAGATTCAGCAGGATACGGTTTTTACATTGAGAATTTTCACAGAGAAATAGATATACAGAGATTGGCAATCAAATAAAACTCATAAGGAGAACCCTGCAAAAAAGTCCATAACAGATTTACAAACAACAAAACCATTTCCTAACTTCTATAACAATAACCAAACAAAATTTAACCGCCTATAACTAACTCACCAACTGAACAAAACTGTAAATAAGAAATTCCCTAACCACGTAACTAATGCTAACTACTTTTCATAACTTCCTAACAGAATTCAATATCCCTGAACCTCTGCCTAGCCAATTTCTAACAGTCAAAGAAAAGAGGATAACAGAAGGTAAAAGTAACAGAAAAGAGGAGAAAGAGCTAGCAGGATATAATAGAAAGGCATAACAGAAAAGTAAGAAAAAAAAGGGATTCACCTTCAGACCTCTTTCTCAAAAAAAACTTTCTTCCCCAATCTCGTTTTGGCCTTATCTTCTTGCTACCTTCACCATTCTAGAGAATACATCAATCATACTCCATTCTTCACCCATTGCATTCTCTTTTTCACGATCAACCTTTCTCACCTTCATCTTCATCATTTTTTCTCCATCTCAAAATCATCTATGTACTCTCTTAACAACCACGACACCTTCATCTCCAATCCCAAGCCCTCAACAATCTATATAATAGGAAAAAAGAAGAGGAAGATTAGAGGAGGCATCCATAACAGAAAGAAGTAGCTGAATTAAAAGAAACGGACCTCTCTCTGAATTTGTATCAATATCGTTCGTCATCACCTTCTTCAACCTTCCACATCATTCTTCAAGAATCTTGATAAAATCACCATAATCACATTTAGTCTCATATTCCTTCTGAAAACTGTGTAGCAACTCGTCTTCATCAATCGCCTCACACGCTCACCTGCGATCTTCACAGTATCATCTTCATCACATAATCACTACAATATCTCAAATCTGCTTGGCGACCTCGACTGCAAATCATTTCAATATCATAACAATAACAACTCCAGATACATAGAAAAATTTCAGAAATGAAAAGAGGCGGAAGTAGAAGGTTTTGTGGCAAGAAACGAGAATCACAAGCATACCTGAATATGTTCTCTAGATTTTTGTTGCTCTTCGCTGACATCGAAGAGATTGAGACGAAGCATAACAGATACACTGGCACCGGGATATGATCGATGTTGGAGGGAGTGAAATCTACATCAAAGAAACCAATTTCAGTATTGTGATGTTGAAATCGCGACGGAGTTCTGTGGAGAAGAAAACACCATCATCAGAAAAGAAGAGAGGCGGAGAAGCGATACATCGAATTGAAGAGGGCGATTTTGCAATTGATCGGAAGTGAGATGGATATGAGATCGGAACTGAGGCGAGGAGAGTGCGAGTTAGGGGTGTAATTCGAGCGTCACCGTGTACAGTATTGTGGAAGGAGAGCGCGTTTGAAGGAGAAGGCGAAGAGACGCATACAGTAACCCTAACAAAGCCATCAAACGCCTGCGTTTTGTATTCCCTCTTCTTCCTTCTTTTTTTAATTGTTCTTTTAGATTATTTTTTATTTAATCTGAATAATAAGAACAAATGAAACTCATAATTGGATATTGTTATTAATAGGTGGATCTGGCTGGACTGCAGCCACCGAGCCCATCACAACCTTTTTAGAGCTAAATGGCTTATGCACCAAAGTTTCTCGGGATTATGCATATGGGCCTGCATTGTTAATCACCACCTTGTATCATGTTTAGCACCCCTATGTTTGATGTTTTTGACTCCCCTTTAATAGTTTCTATTAACTTTCCTCTTCATTGATTTTTATAGCATAAAATTATGATAAAAAGGTGATATAGAAATTGTAATGATTTTTCTTTAGGTTTGTTTAGAAATTCTTTAGAATTTAACTATGTTATTATTGTTGGATAATCATTTGTAAATGATTTGGAAATCATTTTTTGCTATTTCTTTGTCATAATTTTGTGATGTAATGATTATTGCAATTATGTGTGATATTGGTAAGTAAAAGGGACTAGGTTGAAAAATTCCAAGAGGTTTTCAAAGCAAGTATAGAACCACAATTTTCATCAAGAAAATTCAAGGAGGCTTCTGTAGAGTTTTCTTATGGCTTGCATGGTTATGAAGAGGAAACGGAGCTTCTCCGTTCGGTATCGTCATAACTTTATTTTAATCCTGCACTTTACCACTTTCTAGATATCATGTGAAGTAGGGAATAAAGAGCGTGCACTTGAAGTCGATGTTTAAAGACCTGTAGCAGGCATTCCGCACTTCATTTGCTATATGTGTTGTGCTTGTGTTTGTTTACTTTCTTGTTGATCGATGAGTCACTCAATTTAGAAATTGAGATCACGACTTCGCTCTCAGTGCATGCTCCCTATAGGATTTTATCGCTTTATGTTATTTCTTGCAGATCGATGAGTCACTTGATTTAAAAATTGAGATCACGACTTCGCTCTCATTGCATGTTCCATATAGGATAGTTTTTTTTAGACTTTTCTTCGACATGCTAACCTAGGCAAGATCTCTTTAGGTGTGCTTTTTTGCTGGCTTGCTTGCTTTATCCTTGTACATACCATGTTCCCTTAGGATGCGCTTGCTCCGTTAGGATGAAAGATAGACCTTAGGTTGTAAACCATGCATGCTAACATTAGGTAGAAATTTCCCCTTTCATCCTTGACGTAGGGTTACCATTGCATGATAACATTAGGTTAGAGATAGGCTAGTCTCCCATAGACTCTTTTCTTTCCCTTTTTGCATCCTTGCATGTAAAACAAAAACTTCTCTTCTTAGTAAATCTAAAACATGCTAATCACTCTTAAACCCTTTTTCAAGGTAATGAAACATAAAACCAATTCAAATCATTTTTGTGTGCTTGAGAACCTTTCTCTAAAACCCTTTTTAGGTAAGGACACGATTAATTTACTTCTGTGCCAACGCATTAGTCTCCAAAGGTCGAGCTGCAGCAGAAGGCGGAATTAACTTCGTCCATTAAAAAACACAAACAAACAAAAACATGTGAGCAGAACTACGGTAGCTCTGATTCCTCAAAAAGGATACGTAGGCATTAGGGTAGGGCCCAGGTGAGCACAATTTTATTTTCCCTACATTCTTTTCTCTTTTCATTTGCATGCATTCCTTTCAGTAGTATAGTAAACAGTAAGCATAGATTAAACACACCCATAAGATAGACAACAAGAGTGGATACCATAGAATACTATGGGCGTGTGAGGTGCTAATACCTTCCCCTCGCGTAACAGACTCCCTTACTCGATCTCTCGGTCGCAAGACCGTGACTTCTCCCTTCTAAGGTCTTCTCGATGTTTATCTTTCCCTACATGTGGGATAAAAGACGTTCGATGGCGACTTCATTGTTTGATGATTTTCATCCAGTTGTTTCAGTACTCTCTCGAGTTTACTGGCTTGTTTGCTTTATCCTTGTACATACCATGTTCCCTTAGGATGTGCTTGCTCCATTCGGATGCAAGTTAGACCTTAGGTTGTAAACCATGCATGCTAACATTAGGTAGATGTTTCCCTTTCATTCATCCTTGACTTAGGGCTACCATTGTATGATAACATTAGGTTTAGAAATAGGCTAGTCTCCCTTTGACTTTTCTTTCCCCTTTTGCATATGCATTTAAAACAAAAAACTTCTTTTTTTTTCCTTTCTGTTCAGACTTCAAAACACTTTAAAGCTACTGATGAGAATCATGCCTTTTCTTAGTATGGGAAATGATAAGCGGGTCTCTTCTCGATCTTATTGTTCTTCATCTCAAGACTAGGTGTGGTTCAATTCTTAAAGACTCCTTCAATGGCTAAGTAGAAAAGTGGCTAATTTCTCTCTCTTGAGGTTAACTAGTCATCATCTGCAACAAAAATACAAACCAATTCAAATCTTTTTATGCGCTCAAGCACCTTTTCTATAAAACCCTTTTCAGGTAAGAACATGATTAATTTACTTCTGTACCAATGCATAAGTCTCCAAAGGTCGAGCTGCTGCAGAAGGCGGAATTAACTTCGTCCATAAAAAACACAAACGAACAAAAACATGTGAGCCAAACTACGGTAGCTCTGATTCCTCAAAAAGGATATGTAGGCATTGGTGTAGGGCCTAAGCAAGCACAATTTTATTTTCCCTACATTATTTTCCCCTTTTTTTTTGCATGCATTCTCCCTTCAGTAGTATAGTAAACAGTAAGCATAGATTAGAAACACCCATAAGATAGACAACAAGAGTGGATACCATAGAGTACTACGAGCGTGTGGGGTGCTAATACCTTCCCCTCGTGTAACAGACTCCCTTACCCGATCTCTAGGTTGCAAGATCGTGACTTCTCCCTTCTCAGGTTTTCTCGATGTTTACCTTTCCCTACATGTGGGATAAAAGACGTTCGACGGCGACTTCATTGTTTGATGATTTTCAGCCGATTGTTTCAGCTGGCGACTTCACTGGGGACTAGGTCAACCAAATGCTGGTCCATCCCGAAGTCGCTCCTAGCTCTTGCTTTCTTTTCTTTGGGTGTTTATTTTTATGCTTTCAGTTCATTCACTCATTTTGTATATACTTGAGCATATGTATGCATTGCATTTTACTGTCTTCCATATACTACTGTCGTACTGGATTTTCTTCTTGATTGGGTTGGGATGTTACTATTGAGGTAAAAGGCCCAGTACCCAGGCCGGAGTGCACTAGGACACTAGGAATAGAGTGGGGGCATGACGGCTATAGGACGTAGTCTGATTAGTGCAGTCATGTCATATACCACGCTCGGATGAGGTTCAATTGGAGGTACTTTCATCATGCACGCCTGTGTTGCGATGATTTTACTCTCAAGCGAACCCGTGATTTTCGAGTTACCATTGTCTTACCCTAACCTAGTCTTCACTCGTGAGTGGGGAGGGAATCATTACTACAGGTACAGTTGGTGACTATGTTCAGACGGTTACTCATGTTCAAATGGTGACTATACCTAGACGGTGACTATCGGTTCTAATATGCTCTGAATTTTTGTCGGTGACTAGGAGGTTCTCAGATTTATTTTCTGAGTCCCGAATCTGTTCATGAGATTCTGTGGTTTATGTTCCGGACCTATGATCCTGGTACTTACAGACTACGCAGAGACAGTACAGTAGAAAGTGGTATCATGGAAGTAGTAACCCCATGATCACTTGCATTTACATCATAACATGTTTATTTCTCATAAAGAAATGTCAGAAAGATGAAATGTACTAATCTTGCATGTGCATGTCCATTACGGGGTACCCCTCTGGCATAATTTCTGTCAGTAACGTTTAGAAACAACGATGTTCTCAAGAGGACCAAGAGAGACAATTGTACTTATCAGTGTTGCTCAATTTTTCCGCTCAAGTTCTCGGCCTTCTTTGAAGAGTTTAAAAGACCGTTTTAGTCCGTCCCAACACAGAGTTTTTATCGGAAGACATGGTGGTGTTTTGAACCTACTTCAGTTTTACAAACTACGAGTTACACTGTTTCATCTTCCAGGACTATCAATTTGTTCCAACTCCGGAAAATACTCTCGTTTGTTCAAGATTATCGAGCACACACT